TTCTTCACGCAAACTATGTATACGTGCCATATTCAATATTTTCCGCCAAAGATATACATTAAAAGAACAAAACATATACAGTACAACTCAAACGATGCGAATGATTTAGGAGTCGATGAAGCTGAATTAAATAATTCACTTAGAATTACCAATAATAGCCGTTACTCATTACTAATCCCAACAGTATCTAATAACTGTCAAAGGTATTCACAAACAACAGACTCTCCACGATCTCTCTCATCATTTTCTCCAGCAACGAACGAATATATTCCACCCGATCAGATCACAAATACATCTGACAAACAAAGTTTCAGTGTACAATGTGTCTGAAATCACTAATGGATCATAAAACTTTAACAGCTTCTATTGTCTGAAAACAATCCATCAAATATGAACACATATGCTTCATACTCTGATTATATATATTTTTTTCTATCTTTATTTGATTCTAAAAGAAGGCTAACGAAAAACATTATAGGTCTAGCGAAGAACAGGTGACAACATGGTTGAATGAATATAATATATAAGAAAAGAAAGAAGACTTGTAAGAAGACAAGTAACAATAGAGAACTAGCAAATAAGGAGATATATTTTTTCACATAAGATATCCCACGTGTGGACATTTTGTCGGCTTCGACGAGTCGATAGAAAAGAAAGATATGCATGCGCGAAAAGAGATATCCCATTATTTGCTCGTTCTCTAATAACAATATAAAACGAGAGAAAGGGAAAAAAAAAGAAAATTGAAATGAAAATGAAAAGATGTAGATGGTCCTGGTTCGACAAAGGAGAGGGTGGTAGGTGTTGATTAGGAAATTAACAGAATAAAAAGATAACGTGTCATTAGCTAGTTTCAAATCTACTCGTATGTTTAATATATAAGTTTACCGCATCCAACATGAGTGTTTATAAGTCCCATTTAAATCTGTGTTATTGAGTAGTAGTAAATCGACTCTTAGTTGGTTCAAAAACTTTAAATTTTGTTCTAATTGTAGACTTTCATTGGTTTAAAGAGAAGAATGCAAAAAATAATGATCAGCATCCTCACTATCGCCACCACAACTACATTCAGATGAGTCAATGAACTTCCGTCTATAGAAATAGTAATTTGTATTTACTTTATTAATATCTATTTTAAAATAAAAGACGAGTTACGGCAACTTGAATAACTACCGAAAGGATGCAGATAGCGATCCACAGTTTTCGATATTTGATAGAGGGCAGTTGAGGCTATGGAACAATGCAGTCGCTCGAATAGATTTACCTTGGTATACCTTTCGAAATAAAATGTCCGAGCCTGTCGTTCCAAAAGTCTCCATAGCAAAGTACTGCTCTAAACACATGCGGATATATAGGAGTCGTTCTACAACCTGGCGTAAGTTCCAAGTCTTCATCTAGCGTGGATTCGGGAGCTGCAGGCAATCTCCGGAGATTAACCTATCGGCTCAATCTGAAGTTCAGAAACTCTAAAATCACATGAAACATAGGTTTTCGAACACGGGAAATCTCGCAGTGCTATTTATTTACGCGTATCAGACGTCTTATACTATTTACTAATTTTTATTCAGATGAGTGTGTCAAGAAAAGAACTTGGGTGACCACTATTTCTAGCTATTCTCCGAATAATATTCAATTCCTCATCTGATAGGGAATTAGTTGAGCAAATATTAATCGCTCTATGAACCATACCGGTAATGATCGAGCGTTTATAGAAGATGGGGAAGTACGAGTCCCGTTTCATGATGAGGTCTATAAAATCGTTTTTTCTGAAGATAGTCCTATCGTATGTGGAATCGGTTCTGATATTCATCAAGAAACGGCAATGTATTATTATTTTCAATCTCAAATGTAAACTCGATGGTGGGATAAAAGTTTAGTAACTAGAGGCGTATGAGTCCACCAACGCAAAAGTATTATAGACAAACCGTCTCCTGACTCCGTTTTTATATAATTCCTCATGTAACGACTCTTCTAAATAAGCCATGAAGATATCAATTCCGGTTAGGGTTCCTCCAATACGGATCCAATCAATTTATTCATATAACTGATCATTGATCATGAAATGTGTCTCAGAAGTAGCTAATTCTAATCGATTACGAAAAACCTTGTCTGTTTTTACATTTCTCACATATGGTATTGTTCTTTCTTCGACTAATAGAGAATGAATTTTGTTGTCTGTGCAAGTTCGCTCGTAAATTGAGTGCTGTTGCTGTCTCTCCTGTGTAGAACTCTTTATCTTTGGAGCATATTGAATAATAAATTAGATTGTGGGTTTTGTAGATCATAGTCTTCTTACAGATATTATTTTGTTGTTTCTCAATGTGAGCATGTCAGTTTCAGTTATTGTTTATTACGTCTCGTAGTTTGGTTGACCGCATCTTCTAACTTTTGACGAATTACTTGAGTGTGTTTGAGTTGAACGAAGTACTCCCACCCTCCCAGGATAGAAAGCCATCCCGATACGTCGGCTTTGTAATACGACCACTAGAGCCCTGCGGGATGTAATTTTGTCCTCTCGATCCCGTCCCGTATGCTTATTACAACCCCGTAAAATCCCGAAAACTTTTTCCACTTAAATACAGGCAGCAAAAAAATGCCCGCCGATGATAATATTTTTTCTTTACTTTCTCCCTTTGCTTGCAAAAATATTCAACCAGTATCTATATACTCTATTAGATGCACGACAACGCTAATTCAAAGTTGAAGCACTATCTTATTTTTCGTTTTCTTATACACCACCCGATAAGAATTTCACGCTGATTAAGAATATCACGTTTTTACCATTCCTAGTTCACATTTACATGGAGAAAAATTCGAAATACTCTGAAGGTCTCAACGTCACGAAAGTCCTTCGTGTTTCGAAAAACTTGAATATCTTTTCTCCTTTGTATCTCGACGCTCCAAACATTTTTTTCCAGATTTACCATTAAAAACTGAATTAAGAAATATATTTTCGAAGGTTTCCATATGTAACGTCATTCCAGGAAAATTCGTTTACAAGCATAGCTCTAAAATGGAGGCCTCGCCGCCAAAAGCTATCTGTTTTTTTCTGTTAAAGACGGATCTCTGATTCTTGCGCCATTCGATCGGCCTTGATTTGTACTACAAAAATATACATCGCTTTTCTTAAAATTTTGTTTCATTCCTGAGAAAGTACATTTTTTCTGAATCAGGAGCGAGAAAATCGGAATTCTGCTCGTCATTCTCCATTTTCTTCACCAGAACTCACCTCTTATGCAATAAAAATATCTTATTCGGAGTTAGCATCGGAAACCGAGTCGAATCATATATGTTTCGAAATTTTGTGTTGATTTCATTTTTTGGTGAAAATCTCAGTAATTTTTCTAAAAAACCGACCGCAGTTGGACAGGATAAAAAGTAAATCATTCGGCTAGGTTTTTGGTCCTAACTCCAAATATGGTATTTTTATTACATAATGTCAATAATATTTTATATTTTATTCCATATCGTCAATAATGACGAAATGGCTGTTTCCACGCAGATCCGCCCACTTTTTACACAACTTCAAGCCGGCCAAGTTCCTCTGTGCTTAGATTGTAGCCCGTGTTGAGTCATATAGGCTAGGTAAAAGATCTTGACTGCAGATCTATTGAGATTAATAGAGCAATTAATTCATTATTCATTAATTAACAAAATCTTGACAGATTTTCGATATCTATATAAATCTCGAATCGTTTTTGGGATGGTTAGGTATTATTTTCATTTATTTTTATTTTTATCTACTGTATTCTATAGGCCACTCTGCAGTACTGTGCTGTACCAACAGTACGCCAAAATTCACAGTTCTTACGGAACTGTCCACACAATACCGAAGCTATTCAGTCGAACGTTACGTCCGTAGCGAGCTTGAAGATTTCTCAACTTTTTTATAATGTAGATTATATCTATATATAGGGGCACTGCAAAAACAAAAACGGTGATAAAGACAACAACAAGTATAATTTATTCATTTGTGCATCTAGTAGATCAATAGAATTCAAGGTCAGACCCTCTATAATGTAGTTACACAAAGAATATCAATATGTGTGAAATTCTTGTAGTTATGGTTCGTCCACTTACCTTGTCCAAATATGGCACTAATTTTCCTAATTAGTAATTACATTAATTAGTTCAGAAAAGTTCCCAAATCTTTTGAAAAACTTGCTACAGAATTTTGAAGATATGTCAGACTCGGATCTGTAGTAAATCTTGATCAAGAAATTTTCAAGAAGCAGAATCTTTAAAGAACTTGTGCAGATTTTGCCTTTCTACAAGACACGGGTAGGCCTACATCTAGAGTTTTTAAACAAATTGTGGCGAAAGTGGCCGGGGCAAGCTTACAAAGTCAGTTTTGCCAGAAATTTCCACTATTTCACTAATGACTTAAAATTATGCAGATTTTTGACCTTGGCTCTTCAAATTTTCGCATTTGATACTCATTTAGTTTGTGGCTTTGCAGTTATGAAAACAGCGCTAAAGAAACTGTCAGTTATATGCACACATTAAATTTATCATCATCATATGAAAGAATAATCGTAAACACATGATGGTTAGTTGTTAGTAAATACTCGTGGCTAGAATAAAATAAGTAGTCAAGGTAGACGGTAATGGTAAAGATAGAAAGTGAGTCCAGATATATTTGATAAGAATACTTGTCACAAGTAAATTAAGATGGACTAAATGTTACTGGTATAGTGTTGATATTTTCCTCCCGAATACCCTAAATGCTCATCAATGAATAATATCACATGTGAATGTGATACTGAAGTCAACGATGCATGTCTATCGTATTCACAAAATCAAACTGTACCAAACTTCTTCCATTTCTAGAGAACAGGAAGGTTTACGTACGTATAGGATAGTTTCTGAACACATCTGGCAATTGGCTGCTTTTAGCGCTCCTTGATCGACTGTAAACCAAAAGCAAAAAGAACAAGTTATCTTGTTCGTCTACTCGTTTTCCGCCCTAGATTCATTTTCTCCACTGTTTAGATTTATAAATGAAATTAATATTTTTCTTGCTTCTTCTTCGTCATCTATGTGCGTTCAAAAGCTCAACAAAAGGTATTGATCTTCTCTTCAGTACCATTTCTGAGTTACAAATAGCTCTCGAGTCCAATTGGATAACCTCACGTGATCTTGTCACCTGGTATTTGGAGCGTATCGATGAAGTTAATAAAGATCTTCGTGCTGTTATTGAGACAAATCCTGATGCACTGGTAATCGCTAAGCAGTTGGATAGCGAACGAAAAGAAAAGGGAGCACGTAGTCCGCTGCATGGCATTCCAGTTTTGGTGAAAGATAACATTGCTACTGCCGATAAAATGAACACAACTGCCGGTTCCTATGCTCTGCTCGGTTCAAGAGTACCACGAGATGCTGGCGTTATTTACCGATTGAGGAAAGCAGGAGCCATTATTCTCGGAAAGGCGAGTATGTCAGAATGGGCTGCTTTTAGATCCACGAACGAAACGCGCGAAGGCTGGTCGGCACGAGGTGGTATGTCGGCATCAGCCTACATCAAAGATGGCGATCCATGTGGGTCAAGCTCTGGTTCAGGAATAGCGGCATCGATCGGTTTGAGTGCAGCAACACTGGGAACAGAGACCGATGGTTCAATAGTATGTCCAGCCAGTAGAGCATCAATCGTTGGGCTCAAGCCAACTGTAGGCCTAACATCTCGTGCAGGTGTAATACCAATCTCACATACGCAAGATTCCGTTGGTCCTATGGCACAAACAGTAAGAGATGTTGCATTGGTATTAGAAATAATTCAGGGTAACATTAACGTGATGATAGTTTCAAGATCTTTGGGCTGATTTCCATTTAGGTATCGATCCTCATGATAATGCAACGCTTGATATGGATGCAGTACGTCCATGCAACTATACACAGTTTCTTCTCGGCTCAGAAGGTTTCAAGAATATGCGCTTGGGCGTCGTTCGCCGAGGCATCTTTGATAATTCATCCAGTGTAACCGTATCTCAAGAACAAGTGAATGCTGCTAATGACGCGATCAAATTGATGAAAAAGCTCGGCGCACACATCCAAGATCCAGCTGATATTGAAACTATAGATGAAATTAACCGATCAGCTGCTGAACTGACGGTTCTGAATACTGATTTCAAACAAGACATAAAAGCTTATTTAAGTGAACTGACGAACACGAATATTAAAACATTGGCTGATCTCATTCAGTTTAATCGAGAGCATCAAGATGTAGAATTTTCAAAATACATGATCAATCAAAATCAATTTGAAGGTAAATATAAGGAAAGCTATTCAAATTATGAGGAAACAAAGCAGTTGTAAAATAATGTAAATAAGAACAGCTCATTTCATCGAGCACCTAATTTTGTAAGAAGTTGTGTGCTTTTGAGCTGAAGGTACTAAATAAAAGAAAAAGTTTAGATCCCCTGTTATATTCTTTAAGAAATGACCGTTAATCAAGATAACAATTTCAAGTATTTTACACATCGAACAGGATTGTATTGCCTTTGATGCGACATAACATCTGTGGATCGATGCGTGATGAGAGGAAATGTGGCATACTATATTCACCTTCTCTGTGAGATATACACCTGAGATATATGGCAAAACTGCGTTGAACATTTGAGAAAACCATTGAAAGACATCAAAACGTATTTATTAGAATACTTTATTTTGATTTTCTTGAATGAAGTAGTGATGATATATCGGGCGCTAGTTTTTATGCTACAACAACGATTTGAATTGCTGCATCGGTCCACTCATGAGCCAAATATTAACGATTTACTCGTTCTTCTATTTCAGCTTCAGAAAATACCACCGGTTACGACAGTGACGAATACATACAAGCCGTTGCTACCAGTCTGAGACTAGGGCGAAAAGAAGGAATCGATTATACATTAGACAAGTACAAACTAGACGCATTAATCATGATTGGTGATGGAGCATCGACGGCTTCTGCCATTGCACGTTACCCGATAATCAGTGTACCATTGGGCTATTTAACTAAGCAGAATGGCATTAACGAGGCACTTTCTGGTACACCATTCGGTATGTTATTTACTGGTCGAGCATGGAGTGAGGGAACTTTGTTAAGACTAGCGCATGCATTCGAACAAGCGACTCATATTCGAGAAAAAGTTCGACCACAATTTGCTCCAGAATAAATTTCCTTGGAAAAATTCCTTACATAAATTCTATGTGCATAGTCAATAAAATGTATTCTTTATACATGACTGATGCTTATGTTACAAGTCCGGTTAAAATGAATACTTTTCAATCGAATACTAGTAGGGCATTCGTGATGGTATAGCGTAACTGATAGTATGCTCAATAGGAATATGTACTCAACATTATTAGAAAATATTTTCGCTGATGTAAATGATCATAAAAGTATTGAGATGAATGCCTGACTGAGGAAAATATTTACGATTACAAAAGATTAGCACTTCCGCTGTTTTTCGTTATTCGCAAAGTTTAAATGAACTCTAGGTTTCTTTTCTTGTTTAAATAATATTTAAGAAAAGACTAAAATTAATTAATTAATTAATTAATTATCATGATTATTAATAATAAGATCAAAAGAAAAAGTTTTTATTTTGCTCCGTCTCTCATAATTATATATTTCACTTGATGTACCATTCGATGACTGTTTTTTGTTTTTGTGTTTGCAAATTTGTCTTTCATTTCAAAGTCTCATCATAATCTTCCATTAATACATCACTTGCTTCTCTGGTTTTAATGTTATCTATTATTTTTTTGCGAATATCTTGAGCAATACTTCTTTCACGTAACATATTATCTCGCTGTTCAAAATCATTTAATTCATCGCCTATAAAATGGAAAACTACATATAAACTAGTTAAGTTAATTTTTCAGCTGCATAAATAACTACTTAAAAAGTGTACGTCTACGATGTAAAAGTTTAAACCGATTTGTCCTTTTTTATGTTACTTCTTAACAAAGCCGTATCAAATAAGGAATATCTCTATCTTTTCAGATCTTGGCAAATGTTAGCAAATGTCTATATAGACATTTGCTAAGAAGATAGAGATATTCCTTATCTAAGATGGCTCTAATGATCATTATCCGAGAAAATCAAGAAGCTAGTGGTCTTCAAATTCTAAATCGCGTTGAAATTTTGGTACATTTATAACTATCCATTTCAGAATATAAAGACCACAGATGTTTTTTGAATAACTTTTGATAGAAAGCAGCTAGACAGCTCCGATTTTTGGCATACAGAAGAAGAGACTTGGGGGAATGCTTCACAAGTAAAATGTTTTTCGAAAGAGTTTTCTAACACAGGTTTTCTACGAGATCTTTGAAAAACCAGATCATGTGTAAACATTTGTCAACCGTATTTTATTGATTTTTTTCATGGTCTGATAGCCAGTGGATCTCCTCTTAAAAATGGGTGGATTATAGGTAATCGATCATGCTGAGTCTCGTAGAATTTGTTATCCAGAAACTTTTTTATCTTCCATCCGATTTCGATGGCGTTTTCAGTGACTAATGCTTACTGTCCTACGAGCTTATGCTAAGAATTCGAAATCGAAACGTTGAAGCCCTGCCGAGTTATTGCGTGACAACGGAGAAAATGGGACTCGTAGCAAAGCGTTATGGCTTTTTTGTTGAAAGGTACAGAAAGCTGCGAAGGCCTCAAATGAAAGTAAACACCTAAATCTAAAATTTGATCCGTGGCTATTTTTGAATTTCACTTCCGTTCATTCTCTACACGTATTTTAAGTCAGACCTCTGAAATAACCCTAATTCGGCTGAGTATTTGCCACTTATCTCTGCACAGAAAACAAAAATCAAAAAATTGCTGCGGATTAAACTTTGGATAAATGTCTTAGCTTCAAAATAAAAAAAAAATGAAGGTTTTACGCCGAACCGTCTAGGAGTTAATACAACTTTACTGCGCCAAAATCATATTCTAAGCAATGAGGTCATCACTTCATTAATTATAGTTCAGCGCCTTTAGCAAAACTAGTATAACTCTGCAAGACGAGGTCGTAAAAACCCGCTGAATATCTCATTATGATCAGAACACTCTGCTCAGCATAGCTCCATATCTGTTAAAACGGATAACCTTAAAAATTTTAATTAAAATGTGAAATTTAGCAAAAGATGATTTTTAGGGCTTTCAGAAATCTTTTTCAAAAACCTTCAAAAACATTGAATTTCTGGCAAACTGAGAAGGATTCTGAAAGATGACACTTTGGGATACTGAACCGTATGGTTACTTCAGGTTCGAAGGTTTCGAAGAAAACATCGAACTCCTGAGGGGGGGGGCCCTTCAGTCGAGATGTTTGTGTTGTAGATGATCAATTACATCTTCGATAAATATTTCATGATGAATAATTCTGTTGTAATTCGATCTTCAATTTGTGCGAGAAAAGTTTTTGGATAAAAAAGGCAACTTGGAAAATAATTTTTCTTTTTCATTTATTTCATCGAAAAAAGAAAATTCGATTACAATAGTTTTAAGACTTTCAGGTAAAATGCTTCCTATGACAGCTACTATACGGTCTTCTACTATCTGCTGGAAACGGATGGGGCTAAGAGGAGCACTATGTACCTACGGAAAAAGAATAAGAGCCCGTACGTACCTTCTGAAGTATGTTGAGATGTCGGTCGCATAAAAAATGCCATAAAGTCTTGAACAGTATATTCATCTAGAACACAAAATACCATCGTTCGCCTTTTTTGTTAAAAATCACAGGTTTTTTATTAACATACCCTGCAGTACGTTGAACCTAAATGCTATACCATTTGGACAATGTTTAAATTCGGTTGGTGTATTGTGCGAAAAGTTATCAGCAAATTGGGTGTAATACTGATTACGTGCTACACTAAATGGATAACCGCTGCCAGGAGCAAAATGAATACCAAGATACCTATCTCTTTCTATTGGCCAATTAATATTCTCGATATCTTGTACACCAGTCATTGTCTTAATTAACTGAGAACCTATTTCATATGTACCTTCAATTTCAAAAAATTCGAAATTCGTACGTGATCGACAAATTTTATAAAGAATTATTTTTCGATTTAAACTATATGGTTGACTATGAAAATTAATTGAAATTGAATCAATAATTCCATTATGGTGTATTTGATCATCGGCATTAAACACAATTAAATTGTAAATATTGGAGTTCAAATTACTAGAGCCATCTAGTGTACCATATTTACAATCTAACAGAATAAAAATAAACTAATTAATAGTTCACACTGATGAAAAGGTTAGAAACAAATTTCCCATTCATTCAAAATGTGTCATCAATAGAAGTTAATGAGTAGAACTACAATTGTCCGAATATGACATAAGTAGTACGAGATTGTTTTTGCGTGTTATATTTTGATTTTATAACTCCATTTTTGGTCTATGGCTTCGTGTTTCACAAAACCTGCTCTAAACTGGAATACTTATCAAATAAAAATAAATGCATCAAATATCCTATGAAAAATTAATGTCAGATATGTGTTATTTTATGAACTACTAATCGACCCTTCGTGGATAAAGTAAAGTTTAAATGAATTTTTCTCTAACGTACTGATGCCACTATTGAGTGCTCGAGAAAAAAGTACTCTCTGCCGACTTTTGAAGAGTTTTGATCTTGAACAGTCCAAATCGTTTCCTCATAAATAGGAAGTAGGGTTTTTGAAGGATCTTTGCAAAACGGGATTATGGTAAACAAGGTTATGACAGGAAAAATCCCAAAATCCTCGAGACTAATGTAATGTAAGACTTACAGTCTTTCAGAAAAACGTTTCTTACACACTGTTTGGTACATCTCTATGAGACTGATCTAATGGAATCAGTTCTGAACTGATCAAACATCATTTTACGACTTAGACAACCGTTAAAACTCTTTTTAACGACTTCGAATACGGTCCGTTTTATCCGTCTTCCGAAGACGAGTCAAACGGTGCACGATAAATTTGCATTCCTTCAGTTTTTGATGAAAATATCGCCCGCTTAAGGTTATAGCAGAATGAATAGAATAGGTGACAGGACACTTTCCCAATAACGCATGTTTTCCTCAGGAACGGTAAGGTACATAAGTTTGAGAGCAACTTTTTGTTCTATGTATTCTATATCTTATGAAACGCGATGTACCACTCACAATTTATTCATTTTTGCTAGCAATAGACGTTTTGCCATCAGATTTTCAGTTCGCTTCAGAACTGATCCCTTTAGTTCACTCTCATCGAGATGCACGGAAAAGTGTGTAAGAAACTAGTTTTTTAAGAAGAATAAAAGCGACAGTAGAAAGAATTAGTCTTCTATAAAGGTCGACTAGTAGAATCCACAGTGAACATCAAAAAAACAACAAAATATATTTTTCTGACAGTTTTTCCACAAACGGGAGAATGACCATACGTTTTACCCATATGCGTAGAATATACTCGATGTCTACGTTCTTCGTATTCAATCATTTTTGACGGCTTCCATTACACCGTGCAAATATGGACTCTACAAATCATGAGACTTTTCTTTTAACGAAAGAACTCAGGATAAACACACTGGCAACAAGTCTTGAAAATACACCACCAGTAGCTTAAAAACTTTGCAGTGCTTTTTCCGAAGATATTGGATTTTTCTAATGAATAGAAAAACTCAGATTTTTAAGAAAACTGATATATTGGAAAGAATATAGGAAGAAAACATGAGTTTTCTACAATAAAACCGATAAAATATATATATATTGATCATTTGAGTACATAATCTACTATCCGTTCCAAAATACAATAGCATCGTTTGCTTTTTGAATAACTTTTGATAGGTAATAGATGGAGAGGTGCGATTTTCAGTTTTAGAAACTAGAGACCTGTGCCCGTGTTTCGGAAAAAATTGTCAAATTGGTTTTTGAGGAGATTTTTGGAAAACCAGATCAGAACTCCCGAAAGTCTCAT